CACTCATTGATCTGTAGGCAATTCTCTGAAGTTTTCTGCACAGTCTGCACCATCCGCAAAGACCCTTCTAACGAACAAGAGCACCTCACAGGTCCTGTGGCTTTAGACTTGGTTATATTTTGGGGGAGACGGTGTTCTACCACCTACTTCAGGACCCGTAAGAGTCTATTGAACGGGTGGCAGTCACCCATCTGGTCCCGTTACGGCTCTGGCCTCAGATCCTCCCATGCCCACCCCATCGGCCTGATGTTCCTCAAACTCCCAGCCTGGTCCCTCATCCAGGGAATGTCCTCCCAGGACACCAGCCTTGATCTTCCTACCCACCCATGTCCCCACACCCAGCCCTGCCTCTCTCTGAGCCCTCGTTTCAACGCTGCTGCCTCTCACTGAGGCCCCCTCCCCACCACACTCAGTCCCTCTTGCAGCTCCCGCCCCACCCGTGGGAGGAGCCAGGGCAGGATAGAGGCACAGGGATGAACCCAGAGCCTGCAGGGTCGGAAAAGAAGGAGAGGGAGGGTCCTCGGCCTGGTCTCGGCCTCAGGGGGCCGCAGAGAGGGGAGGGCTGGCTGTTTCCAGTGCTGCTGGGAGGTCACTGGGTCTGAGGAATTGCAGGGTCCAGGTTGGGGGCAGGGGGGAGTGCAGAGGGAGGCTCAGGGAGAACCAGCAGAAGTGAGGGGAGCATGGGGGTGGGTGGGGGTGGGTGGGCCCTGGGGTGGCTGCAGAGGAAGAAGATGCTGAAGGGGACCTCAGGACCGAGATGGGGAGGTCAGGGGCTGGGACCCCTGTGCTGACCGTGGGGAAGGAGGAGAGGCCTCGAGGCCCTAAGGTGAGGGAAGGTATTGGGGAGCCCCAGCATGTTTTAGGGGCCGTAGCTCCCCAATACCATGCCTCCACCTCCATCCTGGAAGCATCTCTCAGTGAGTGATTCACTGCCCAGCCAGCCCTGCCCTCCACCCAGCCTCACCTCTGCCCAGGTCCCTGGCTGCTTATCTCCTCCCCACCCCAAAGCTGCCCCTGCCTCCACCAGGAAGGCCCCTGAACTGTCCCGCTTGGGCTGCAGAGGTGGTAAGACTCAGTACTCATGTGGGCTCCCCCTGAGAGCTGGCAGCAGCCCCTTCCCTGCCAACCCCAGTCCCCACCGCAGCCAGCAACAGCAATAGCCTAAGGGCCTGCAGCCTGGGTGAACCGGCAGTGAATGGGTTTGTGGGTGAACGAATTATAGCCAGGTATGAAGGTGTTCTTTCTCCTAGCCCAGATGGACCCTACGAGGCGCGACCCCAGTGGTTCTTGTGGGACACCCCCCTCCTCCTCAGTGCCCCCACAGCGCCCTCCCACATGAAGCAGCGGGGCAGGTGGACTGTCTGACACTGGTTCCAACCTCCAGCACCTTCCCCAAGGTTTGGAGTACACCCCACCACCAAGGTTTGCAATGATAGGGTTACTTTGTAACCACGGACTCTTGTCTTTGGAGAGATCCCCGTGTGCCCGCTCCCCTGTGAGGCCCCCATCATTGAGGGCATCCAGAGAAATGCATGTGATTATGCACCCGGGGGCCCATTAGAGCCCAGGAGGCCGTGAGGGGGAACAGAGCCGGGGTCTCCCCTCCCCCGGGCTCACCTCCCCCTGCCCCTTCCCAGGGGCCCCAAACCACCCCCAACCCGACACCCAGAACCCCTACCACAGAGCAGAGGACTCAGAACAAGGTAATTTTGAATGCTTTATTGGGGTGCGAGCGTCAAGGTTAGAGACAAAACCCAGGCAGTGGACTTTGCCGGAAAGACGGCATGTTAACAAGTAAAGTTGAGGCGAACACAGGCCCACTGCAGAGCGGACATGGGCAGCAGGCAGGTGACATGGTGTTCAACACGTGGGGGGGTCTCCAGGCGATGGTATGAGGGGCCCAAGGAGGGGGCCCCGCTGAAGACAGTGGGGGAAGAGAAGAGATGGAGACCACTACGTGGGCACGGGGGTCAGGCGGGCGGACGTGGCCAGGGTGGTCGGCCACCATGGGGAGAGATGCATAAAGGGGACACAGAGGGGCAGAAGCCAGCACCCCTGGAGTTCCCAGCCCCACGAGGCAGGTTATAACACTGAGGGGCTGGGGTCCAGCTGCAGGGGCGGGAATTTGGGGTGCCTCGAAGTCTTTGGGTTTTTCTGCCAATCCGGACTCCAATTGTGACAATTTAGGAATTTGGGCTTCCGCAGAAGCATCACCGCCAATGGTCCGAACAGCCCCTTCCCTGAGCGCTGGCCAGCTGGACCTCTGTGTAGTGGGCGGGCTGGCATGGACCGCCCCCAGGGTCATGCCAGTCCTGTTGCTGGGGCCCCAAGGCCAAGGGCCTCTAGAGAACTAGTGGGCTGCCGTGCAGGGGGGCTACACTGGAGGCAGAGGTGGGGGTGAGGTAAACCTCCAGCTGCCCTGATCCCTGCCCCAGCCTGGGCACCGTGGTGGCTGTCAGGAGTGCCAGACCAGTGGCCGTGGGGCCCGAGCAACCTGGGTCGATGGGTGGACCCCGGCATCTCTCCAAGCTCTGTGTGATCACGCCCTCCTGACCCCCCAAACTCCAGACCCCACCCCACTGGACCCCCAGGAGTCCCTGCAGAGCTCGGGGACTCCTGAGCACCCAGTGGGGGCTGAGGGGGCAGGCAGAGGTTCAGAAAGTGGGGGGCGGCTTCCCCAGATGCCCGGAAGGCGGCCACCTGCTATTGCCAGATGGAACCCTTCACATACACATACACCGTAGCCCCTTCCCTCCCAGTGGCCAGGCCAGCCGGGAGCCCCTTCCTGTGGCCTCCGAGCACCTTCCGGACACCAGAGGAGACTTCGCCCTGCCACCCCCTGCCCGCCCCCACAGGACTTCCGGGAACCAGCCACTGTCTCCCAGGAAGCTAGGTCAGGGAGTGGCCCTCTCCATTCCCCAGACTTCTCCTGGGGTGCAGTGGTCACACCCCAGGGGACTCCACTCCCAACTGAACTCAAGCAACAGGGACAGACCCAAACGAACGAAACAAACAAGGGCGGGGAGTAAAGGCGGGGGGCAGGACAGCGGGTCGCCCCGCGTCGATGGTGGGTATGTCTGCTTTGCTCCTGTTCTTTGGTCGCTGCCCCCCTGTTACGTGGGGAAGGGGTTTCAGAGCGCGAGAAAAGCTAGGGAGGGGCAAAAACCAAACAAAACAAAAAAAGGAAGAGAATGGCCCCAAGAGTTGCCGAATAGAGGGGAGACAGATCAATTGACTTAAATTTGGGGTCCAAATGCCGGGATGTAGCTCTGCGGTCACGCCTCCTCCTAACATTCCATCCAAATTCCCTGGACCACTTCCCACCCA